CTTGCTCATGGTGGCGATTGCTTGAAATTTTATCAGGACGCTTTTACCTTTTACTTTATGCATGGTACCCATCGAGCAAAAAGATAAAAGAGGGCATCTAATCGTTATGAAAGGAGACCAAAAAAGTGGCCTTGATGGCGGACATATCGGAAATGCAAAGGCGCTAAATTTAAATTTTCCAACACTTGTTAACAATACCTGTAAATATTTTTCAGACAAGAAAGTTTTAATTAAATATTAACGATAATAGTCTAAAAGTGACATAATTGGTAAAAAAACTTCAATATAAATAAAATTTCATGTGACAGTTGGGACAAACAATAACATAACCAAACTTAATTTGACTTCTTAAACAAGGAAAGAGACTGTCTTTCCTGTTTAAAGTGGCCTCTCAAGATAGCACTTCCTGACTCCTGTCCATATGATTAAATATATATAAGTTTCCTGTCTAACAATATTTGTGTCCCACTAACCTTTACATTCCCTCATTGTATCTTTTGCTGATGACATATTCATTGTACCATGGATGTTGATCATATAGTATATATAACCTCACTTTTTTAGATTATGTTAATAAATCTTTATTAATGACAAAAAATATTTTTGTTGAATTATAAATGTCACTATATATAGATAACTAATTAATTCTAAAAATTGTATCCGGATATTAACACTACAAAATAAAATATTTAAGTTTAACAAAATAATCCCATAAGACTCAATACTAAAACGTCCTCACAGAAAAGTTTTTCTCAGCTAGAAAAGTTTATACCTTTGTTGTGTTCTTACTAAAATTTTAGCCTGTGAAGAATATAAAGAAGAAAAATACCAACACAAGTATACATGTAGAATAATCCAAAACAAACACAGGAAGAATATAAGTAGGTGGACACTGATTGCTGAAACAAGACAAAAAGGTCATAAAGTGTCTACCCCCAAGTAAACTAGCCAACTGGATAAATTGTCTAGGACATAGCCCAAAAAAGACAGAAGAAGAAGAACGTCCTCACAAATCTGACAGCGTGTCACGTGACTGTAAATAGAGGGGAGGGGAGACCCACGGAGCTGAGACTACATTATAATGCGCTCCCTAACTTTCGCGTGATTGGTTGGTGCGTGGGTCCCAATTTAAAAATTGGCGGGTTTCATGTTTATTAAAATATTAAAATGAGGTATTGTGGCACAGTATATCGCTAAACAATGTATTAGCAATATATTGTGGTATTGGTACAAAGCATATGATATTCACATTTTAAGATTAAGCTGACTAGTACAGTTTTATTAGAAATTTAAATTTATTTTTCTTTTGACATTATGTAGGTAAAATTAAATTCTGACATTGTGTTTATTTAATTTTGATACGCTAGTCATGCTTTTTTTTATTAGATATATAGATATTGTTTTAATTTTTTTTGTTTAGGTAATTTTTTATTAAAATTTAGAGGTTCCTCTTATTATTTTTATTTCTAGAACAT